GATGGCTGATGTTGTTCTAGTAGAGTTGGTTGTTGTTGTTGTAGTAGGGAAGATGGCTGTTGTTGTTGAGGTGGTGGTTGTAGTAGAGGTGGTTGTTGCTGTAGCACAGATCGTGGCTGTTGTTTTAGCAAAGATGGTTGTTGTTGAGGTGGTGGTTGCTGTTGTAGTAGTGGTTGTTGTAGCCGAAGTGGCTGTTGTTGTTTTTGTTGTAAATGTGGCTGTTGTTGTTCTAGAAATAGTTGTTGATGTAGTAGGGATGGTTGTTGCTGCAGTTGTTGTTGTAAAAATAGTTTTTGATGTAGTAGAGATGGTTGCTGTTGTTGTAGAAATAGTTGCTGATGTATTAGAGGTGGCTTTTGTTGTAGTTGTTGATGCTGAAACATTTGTTCTTTCCACGGTTGAAATAGTTGTCGTTGTTGTAGAGGCGGCTGTTTTGGTTGATGTTTTTCTTTCTTCTTTGGTTTGATATCTTTTGACTTATCTGTATGGAAATAAGAACATAAAGTTTAACACCATCACTACCAGCTGCTAAAATTCACTCTAGGATTGTCATCAATTGTCATCGTCACATCATCACAACATCGTCATTGTCGGTGCCATCATCACGTGATTAAAGTCTGCAATCTAAGTAGCCCAATGGAATAGAATATCACGTCAGAGTATCACATAGTAATGATTTGATGGGCTAAATTATCATTATGGATTACTTACTATTAATTTAGCTTTTAGTACTCTCTACTATCACACCCAACAACACCATCACCAGTATTTTACTACGACATTAAGTTCTCTGAGACTAACCGGAAACTGAAAAATATGGTCGGGCTTGTTCCACAGAAGTTATAACTTGGTGGCAATAGTCAAACGGGGTTTTGACATTCGGGTCAACCTGATGGTCTTGATTCTGTAGTTTTTGCGGTGATTTTCGCTCTTGTTGTAATTGCTGTTCAAGCAGAAGCGATTGTTGTTGCAACAAAAATGGTTGTTGTTGTTGTTGTAGCAAAAATGTTTGTTGTGGTTGTTGTTTTAGAAAATGTTGTTGTTGTTGTTGTAGCAAAAATGTTTGTGGTTGTTGTTGTAGCGGTGGTTGTTTTCGAATGTCGTCTTTTTCAGCTGCACCACCCTTCAATTTACATTCTGTACCAGATGAATTTGTTGTGCCATTAGCTCCATCTGGAGACTTCCTACTACTGGTTGGATGTGAGTCTTCAGGCCTACCGGTAAAACGTAAAAAATTACCATTTAAAAATTCGTTGCACCACTTTAACAATGAAACATTTAGAAGTGATCACTGTAACGAATGTGAATATTCAAGACAGAATTACTTCTGTGTATGAGATCCAACAGGTCTATCATCTACACTGTGGTGGTCTCTTGTAACATTGGCATCAGAGTTCCTGTCAGTCTCATTGTTGTGGTCGTTGTAGCTGCTGCCACTAGCTCTAGTTTCGCCAGAAATACCAAGCTTTGGTTTTATTTCAGTTTTGCTACTGCACTGGATGTTTTTCTCTGTGTCACCAACAACGTGCCCTGTCCCCATCGTTTCATTGGTCCTCCTATTGAGGAAATAATTCCTTTATAGAAAAGCTTTAAATTTGGGAAAAAAGCAAACGAAAAAGTGAATAAATAGAACAACGTTGCTTCTGACTGAGCAGTGCCACTATTTCTTTCCAGCTGCAACATCGAGTTGGAACTCATCATTTGGAAAGCAGGCGGAACACTGGCGTCACGCCAACAGTACGTACTTAAATCCAGAAATCGTGGCAGGCCGATGTTGTTGGAAACCTTCTGCTGAATCAAATCATTGATCTTATACCTCTTCAATAACACCGTCAGGATTCTGCAACATTATCATCACGACTGAGAATTTTAACGCTGACCGCAAGGTTTAAAAAATTAACAATCAGCACTAAAAGATTTAAATTTGGAGAAAAAAAAGTAAATCCAAAACTAAAAGCGCAGTGCAAGAACCTGGGCAACTTGTAAAATTTTGTAAGTCGATTAGCCCTTTTTGAGTTCTTGCAGTGTTCGCACGAATACTCTATCGACTGCTCTTTGAAGTATTCGCCCAGGCAAGTAACGAGGCTAGTCAAACTGTTGTTCAATAAGTTATAAATGTACAAATGCAAGTAAGAACTTGCACAGCATCACAAGTCTATATTATTTGTAGTGTTTCTAAAAAAAATCATGTTACACACATTTGAAACAACCAATCAAATCAACTCATCGACGTTATTTTCAAATTTATAATAAGTTATATATTTAATACACACTCGAGTGGGATGAAATTTTTTTCTTCTTCTGCCCTTTACCGGATCCTTTATCGACGGCATTTGTGAATTTAATAATTTTTCTCGAAATTTTATCATAATCATCTGGCTAATATTACAAAATTTTATTTAAATTTTTTTAAAATATTGATTAAATAGAAAATTCACCAATGTGGCTGAAAAAAAAATCCAGAAACCAGAGAAAACCACCCGTTTGTCAATATCTGGGAAAATGAAAGGAATGAAACAACATATTTTACCTTTGGTGCATAATATTCTTGAAGGTTAACAATATATAAAATACCACTTGCAAGAACATCCGCAGAATAAAGAACCAAAAGCTTCAGACATTATAAATATTCTTGTTAAAAACATTAAGGAAATTTGGACACAACCCTCTATTCCAATCGATTCAATTGATCACTTTATCCAACTTATACCATGCCATTGCTATCATTATCTAAAATTAATCAGATATCCTATATGTAAAAGAAATGCTCCTTTATGAACAGAAATTTACGACATTTGAAGAATAGTCTTAGAGCAAATTGTTTGATATAGCCAGCTAGTTGCAGGTGTATAGCCACAACAGTTTGTAAATGTTCGAGAAGTAAAAAAATTCACTTGAAAAAAAGAATTTTTAAAAGATCAGAGAACGGTAAGGAATATGATGATTGGTTCAATTGACCAACCAAAAACTAAATCTCTTATACAAAAAGCACAATAAAAAACTGAAAAATTGCGACTCGAAGGTAAAAAATTATTAGAAAACAATAAGAAACATAGAAGGAATGACACAGATGAAAGTTCCTCAGAAAACATTGAAGGTAAAGAACCCGTTTAAATTTCATTTTCACAGCAAAGACGTCGATTGACGAACACCGAACGAGCTTCAGAAAGATATGTAATATCAGACAGAGGAGCAGCATCAAACATACGACCATATTTCCGCAAATTAAATGTGATTCAAAAGTGCTACCTGACTTTGTTTTACAGAAAGTATAATTATTAGTGAAGATCAAATAGTTTACGACATGTGTTTGGCAACAGACAGTGACACATGTGATGAAGCATTATGGAATAGAAATACTGGAAAACATGTAATGTCTCGCTGGTTGGACTCCAGCTAACAGAATACTAAGTTTATATGTTGCCACTATAGAACCAAGCAACACACTTTCCGAAATTCGTGAGTTAATATTAAAAGTACCTATATGCACCTGATTGGTCTGCAGTTAAGTGCAGACCTTTCTCTGAAGATGGTGCAAAACATTTGTGGGTGCTTGTAAACAAATCCTGATATCTAAATGTTAAACATTCGGACAATAATTTAGTTTTTAGTATTGATTTGTTTTCTCTTTGGATAGATGTAATTACAATTTTATCAGTAAATATATAAATGACTCAGATTATTTGTTTCCGAATAATATAAATATTGCCTAATATTTTTTTCATATATTTCCTATTTTCACATAACCACAAAATATTAAAAAATTAGAGGGTAAAATTTGTTTACAAAAAAATCATTAATTTGGCAATTTTTATCAAGAATGCATTACACAGCTCTTGAGTGGTATTGGAATTCAAAAATCTGATTTTTGTTTTCAAGGTAATGTTTTCGTCGCCCCATCCTCACACACACACACGCACACGTACACATTTATAAAGCGCTGTTGTATTTAAACTTATATCTTCTACAGCTATCTCTCTCAAATTGAAAATTAAAGTTTAACCATTGAATATTAAAATTGTAGTTTCAAAAATGGACGGAACACTAGTTCAAAATTTTAATTTAAGAAATGAACGAGACATTAAACGTGTAAATATAAATTATTATTATTATAATTATTATTATAATTATTAATATTTACTTATACCCACTCTTCGGAGGATGAGACGTCTAGGAGAAGATCGTGTTGCAACTCTGTTGAGAATACCTGATTGAAGCATCTGAATTGATAATAATTTAAGTTTGACCGGTTTCATATTATTATAATTGTCATAATTATTTTTATTATAATAATTATTGATATATATATATATAATATATATAACTATATATATATATATATATATATATATATATTATATATAATTATTATAATAATTGTAATAATTAACAATAATAATAACAATAGTTATTGTAATTATTGTTATTTACATTATCATTATTATTATTATTATTATTGTTATTATTATTATGCGAGCTGCTTCAAGTCATTGGTAACGAGCAAGTTTACTATTGAGGGCAGATATTTTCCCAGCAATAACCTTTCGCATGTGGTGCTGTGTCTAAGAATACTTTGAAAGTTTTTTGTGGTCGGATTGTTCTCAGCAAAGTAAGATATAACGGACGGGTCAAAACAACTTCCCTGACGTTCGCTGCTGTTGTTGTTGTTGTCGTAGCGGTTACCGCGGTTACCATCAAAGTTAATATTGTTGTTGTTGGTACTGTTGTTGTTACTGTTGTTGTTGTCGTGGTTATCATCAAAGTTAATATTGTTGTTATTGTTGTCGTTGTTGTGAGAACTTGCCGTTGTGGTGTTGATGTTGTCGCGGACATTTCCCGGAGAAGAAACATCGTTGTTGTTGTTGGCTGAACGTGGCGAATCTGCCGATACGGTTGATGGTGTGGATAGCTGTGTGGAATCTTGTGATGACGCCGGCAATGCTCTTAACCATGTAAGTAGTTCTACCGAGGCAGCTACTACGGCGTTGAAAGGAGCGGTGATTTCTTCCTTCATGTGATTCAACAACTCGGACAAAAACTCGTGAGCATCCTAGATGTGAATTGGAATTTGTTGTTGCACTGTCGATTAAAAGAGTTTTATGTTTTATAGTGAACAAATGTTACAACGTGCTGTTCTGTCCCGTAAAATTTCCCGGCTTTATGGCTTAATGATTCTTTCATGAGTAGCAAATCATTGCTCCTGCTGCTGTCGTAGTTGGTGTAGGTGCTTGCCGAGAAGGAGTTGTTGACTCTCGACTTCAGCAACTGATGCATTGACCTGTTTTAACATTGACGCGATAGTTTGATGACGGTGAGAAAAAGGTGAATTAGAAGAGTTAAAAATAATTGACGGCAGATGGCGCAAGAACACAAACTTAAATAGAGGTATGCTTGATACTTTGTCTGCGGCGTGTTGCATGAATTGTTGATAGACGATGTGAACATCGGCAACAAACGGTTCGAGGACGAACAAAGCTTGCAAAACAGCATTCATGTAACAGGTATTGCCCAAGTTGCTTAGTCTTAAAAGTCAACAAAATGAGAAATTTCAAACTAACAAGTCGAGTAGATTTTAAAGTAGAATGTAACTCTGACCCACGCAATGACGTTGATTCGTCTGAAGATGTCTGCAGGATATTTGCCGGTTTGGATGACGTGGTACCTTCGCTACCCTTGACAGTAAAACTCACTGAAGAAAGGGCCGATAACATTGAAAAATATCCAAAAAAACTATTTGGCATGGCAGTCTCATTGCGAGGGCTTAATAAAAATATATATTAAAAGATCAGTTGAATGATCAGTGAAATTTGCTATAACACTGTACCGTACAATGAATATAATTTAATAAAGTTGCATTTCTAGAAATAAAACACTCATTCCTATTCCAAAATAAAAATAATAATAATACTTTTTTTCGAATTTATTGAAAAGTTTAGTTGAAGATAAAAAAAAAGCTTTTCTAAGAAAGAAATCTAATAAAATTTTTAACCAACAATATACTTCACTTATACTTTGGTCGTCGCACTGAGAGAATGTTGTTGTTGTTGTCTGCAGAGATGTCCTCACCCATGTTCTCCTTATCAGACACTGATAGCCGCTTCCTGTTTCCAGTCTTGTGGTTTTTGTTGCTGTCATCGTTACTGTCGCCAGTCTTCCTGCTGTTTTTGTTGCTACAAACCCTCGAGTGTCTGTTGCCCACGTTGGCATCCTTCAGAGGAGTTGTCGGAGTCATATTGTTGATGTCATACACGCTGCCGTTTGAATAATTTGGATATATTAATTTTTATCAGGTATATATGGAATAATATAGAGAATAAATAGAGAAATAAAAATAAAACTGACTCATAACCAGGTAAGTTCCCGACAGCCATTTCAGTTTGTTTCATATTTACAGTCAAAGTTGGTTTAAACTTGCTGGTACTGTATCAATGCAATATATTAAATGTTGTAAATGACTAGTTTATTTTTTACAATAAATTTTTACAAAAAAAAAAAAAAAAAATTTAGAAGAAAAAGCATTCAGAAAAATAATTTCATCGCTAATGGTTATAAAATTATAGAATAACCTATTAAGCGATATATCTTTATCAATATTTGCATTATTTGTATCATTATTATCCATCTGCCGAGTATTCCTCTGCTTTTGAATGTTAGGTCCAACAACTGAACCAACACTAGCTTCTGTGTTTAACAGACTCCTAAGCTGGCTGTTGAATTTAAACCAAGATGAAACGGCCTGCTTTTTTTCTAAGTCTATCACAGAACCATCTTTGAATTTTATCACTGTCCTATGTAATTCTATGTCAAACTTATCTATGTTTGTCAGCTGGATAATGAAATGGTAAATAATTTAGTTTTAAAAACTCATGTCAGCGATTTGGGTTTAAAAATAAGGTTATAATATAATGAAAAATTATTAAGAGAGGGGTAATTTATAAAAAAATATTATGAATAAATATAATATGAATAAAAATCATAAGGTGACATGTAAATCACAACCAACAGTGCAACAAAATTATAAGAAAGAAACAGGAAATAATTAACAGAGATAAATATTGCCAAGTTTTCCTTCATTTATTTACTAACACACACCTTAATCCTTGTCATTCTCTGACCAAATAATAGTTTGTCACTGTAAATATGCAATTGGAACTGACCGTACCCCAAGTCAACCAGAATAATCTTACCGGACGTGACAACAGTTTTAGATGACGCATTTGTAACCTTTATATGGCAAATTGTTGTTGCAATCTCGTCTTCTGAATGAGTAGTAGTAACTTTCAGATTGAGATGCATTATTTATTTATTTTAATATCTTCTCATTATTCGTATGCACCAAATTCTGGAGTTATAGAGCTTTCAACTTAACTGTAGGTAAGACTACTAAGAATTAAAACACAGCAAGCAACCAATGGAAGAACAAGTGAATAACTGAAACATTTTGGTTACTTCATAAGCTGTTGTGGAACTAATAACTGTTGGAAAATTATTGGGCGCATAAATTTTCCTCTGAAACACAGGACGTAAGAAAGTCAACCTTGTAGAATTCCAATATACGTTCCAACGATGTTTCCAAGATTACAGAGATTGTTCCTTCAAAAAAATTATTCGTAGCATATATAATATAACAATTATGAATTATATAATATATATGTATATATCATATATAGGTAGAGGCATATGGTAGTTGATTCAAGAACAGTGGCTCAAACAAAATGAAGCATGCTTCTTAATTTCCAATTACTTGTGTGTTTGAATTTCTAATTTTTGTGAAACTAAATGAAAATATTGCTCTCTCTAGTTACTGTGGAGTTTAGTATTTTATGTTACTATTAATTAATAGTAATTTAATTTAAGTTAATAAAGTTAATAGTTAATAGTATAGTCTCTTCAACTATAGTTAACTATAGAGACTAGACTATACTAAGGGAGACTACTACTTATAATAACTAAGTCTTATTCTTATCTAATTCTTATTTCTTAGACTTTATTTTATATTTTTTACTAAGACTATTAATTGAAAATTAGTACCTTACGCTTCAATTTGTGATACTGTACATTACAGTTAAGTAAAAGCAATCACAATGAATATTGTTGTCAACTAACTACTTCTTAACTTTAGTCAATACTTAACGTCTTAAATCTTAATTAAATCTTACCTGTCAACTTGTGTGTCGTTGTGTGTATAGCGAACACTGGCTGAGAGATTTCTAAAAAAGTTTGGTGAAGTTGAAGTTGCACGCAAACGTTTATGGTTGGATAAATTAATAATTAATTGAACTCGTTCAAATTTAATTTTTAATAATAACAACAGCTCGGTAGGTTAACATGCATGTGGACTTTTTTTTACTTTAAACTACCCGCCAAATTTTCACCAGGTTGAAAATTGGCTAAATGCCTGACTGACTGGCTGATTGAATTTTTTTCTCACTTTTTAAAAATTTTCTTCAAAATTTGCTGAATTTTTTTGCTTTAGTTTGTACTCTGAAGAAATAAATTATTAAAATAGATATAAACGACAGAAAATAAGGAAAATACTCACAAAAATGGTTAATCAAACAATCAATCAATCAATCAATTAGCTTATAAAGCGCTATTTCCGCGATGTTCAACAGCGCTCCTCAATGAATTTTGAAAGCAGATGGGTCTTGAGATCCGCTCTGAAGTTCGCAAGTGATGGAGAAGTAGTCAGAGAAGTAGGTAGAGAGTTCCAGAGAAAAGGACCAGAAAAAGCAAAAGCAGATTTGGCAAAAGAGTGTTTAACACGAGTCAAGAAAAAGCGAGAAGAAGAAGACGATCGTAAACCGGGGCGTTTAGGTTCAATTAATATAAATACTTAGGAAATAATTTAGATTGAGACTTATACATGAACGTGCAAATTTTAAAAATTATTCTATATTTTATAGGTAACCAGTGCAAGAGAACAAGATATGGAGATATATGAGAAAAGAAAGGGGCACGAGCAACTAGACGAGCAGCAGAGTAAAAGCTTTACTTAAAGGATAGAGTATAGAGTCAGGAAGATCATAGTAGAGCGAGTTACAATAATCAATCCTAGATAAGACTAACGAAGTAACAATAAGGAGAAGAATAGGATCATCAAGAAAAGGCAAAAGTTTTTTTATTCTACGTAGATGAAAGTAAGAGCTTCTAGCAACACTATTAATCTGAGAAGAGAGAGACATATCAATCAATTATTCAATCAATCAATCAATTAGCTTATAAAGCGCTATTTCCGCGATGTTCAACAGCGCTCCTCAATGAATTTTGAAAACAGATGGGTCTTGAGATCCGCTCTGAACTTCGCAAGCGATGGAGAAATAGTTAGAGAAGTAGGCAGAGAGTTCCAGAGAAAAGGACCAGAAAAAGCAAAAGCAGATTTGGCAAAAGAGTGTTTAACACGAGTTAAGAAAAAGCGAGAAGAAGAAGACGATCGTAAACCGGGGCGTTTAGGTTCAATTAATATATCTGATAAGTACTTAGGAAATAATTTAGATTGAGACTTATACATGAACGTGCAAATTTTAAAAATTATTCTATATTTTATAGGTAGCCAGTGCAAGAGAACAAGATATGGAGATATATGAGAAAAGAAAGGGGCACGAGCAACTAGACGAGCAGCAGAGTTAAAAGCTTTACTTAAAGGATAGAGTATAGAGTCAGGAAGACCATAGTAGAGCGAGTTACAATAATCAATCCTAGATAAGACTAACGAAGTAACAAGAAGGAGAAGAGTAGGATCATCAAGAAAAAGCAAAAGTTTTTTTATTCTACGTAGATGAAAGTAAGAGCTTCTAGCAACACTATTAATCTGAGA